CCTTGAGAAGGTGAATGGATAGAGGAGTGGGTACATTGACGGGGGGGGGGATGAATGCATGGATAGGTGGATGAGTGGTATGAGCTGCTGGATGGGTGTCATGTTGGATTCTTTGCATGTGTATAAACAGAACTGCGGGAGAGCCGCTGATATCTGAGTGATCCTCAGCCTAGAGCACAGTGAGCGGCAGAACTCTGAGCAGAGCCCTTAGTTCCAGCCTCACAGCCAGCAAGAGGGTTATTTTAAAGTTCTGGAAGCATCATACATGATCCAAAGCACATGGCTCCTCATAGAAGCCCCTGTCTGTCTCTGCCACTGCTTCTCTCTGCCTGAGGCCACCGGGATCAGACACTTGTCCCTACTCTCTTTTCACGTATACTCAATTCTACTTTGCAACCACGGTACGTCCATGAAGACAGTGTTACACGTAAATGAAGTATTCTTTTCTTGTAATCATGTTTTAGAAAGTAAAAGAACTTAATAAAGCTACAAACAATGCTGATGCATTTGTGTGTGTGTGTGTGTGTGTGTGTGTGTGTCTTTTTTGGGGGGAGGGGGTTCGAGACAGGGTTTCTCTGTGGCTTTGGAGGCTGTCCTGGAACTAGCCCTTGTAGACCAGGCTGGTATCGAACTCACAGAGATCCACCTGCTTCCCTATGCTGGGATTAAAGGTGTGCGCCACCACTGCCCAACTTTTGTGTCTCTTTCATTAAACTAGCTTTGAACTTCTGATCCTCCTGCCTCCTCTTCCCACCCAGTGTGTCTGATGCTGGGCATGTACCCCAATGTGTTGTGTGTGCTGGGCTCTACTGACTGAGCTATATCCCCAGCCCCCATATCTTGTTTTGTCTCTTACTGCACTTTGTGTATGCAGCTCTGGGAATTGAACCCAGGCCTTGGGCACACCAGGCAAGTGCTGTGCCATTGCTGAGCCCTAGGTCATTATTTTGTGTGGGGGGGTTGTTTGTTTGTTTTTTCGAGACAGGGTTTCACTGTGTAGCTTTGGGGCCTATCCTGGCACTTGCTCTGGACACCAGGCTGGCCTCGACCTCACAGAGATCTACCTGCCTCTGCCTTCCGAGTGCTGGGATTAAAGGCATGTGCCACCAATGCCCAGCTGTCTTGTGATTCTTTAAGCTTTTAAAAATAGACCCAAACTGGGAGGTGGTGGCACATGCCTTTATTCCCAGCACTCAGGAGGCAGAGGCAGCCGGATCTCTTGAGTTTGAGGCCAGCCTGATCTACAGAGTGAATTCCAGGACAGCCAGGGCTACACAGAGAAAACCTGTCTCAAAAACAACAACAACAATAATAATGGTAAAAATGATAATAAAAATCTAAAAACAAAATTGAATAACTCCGAGAGCTGGCGAGAGATCAGTCAGTGAGGCATTTGCTTCCCAAGCCTGAGGGCCTATGTTCTGTCTCCAGTACCAAGGAGGCAGAGACAGGAAGACCCTGTGTGCCTCTAGAGCCAGCCAGTGTAGTCTAAGTGACAAGTTCCAGGCCAGCAAGAGGTCCTGTCTAAACAAAGATGGGCAGCTCTCCTAAGCATGACTCCGAGGTTGTCCTCTAGCCTGCTCATGTACACACGTGCACACCTGTGTGTGTGCACCTGTAAACCAACACTGGAGAGATAGAGACAGGCATATCTGAAATTCAAGATTATCCTCAGCTACCTACTGAGGCAGGCCAGCCTGGGCTAAATGAGAGCCTGTCTCAAAAAAAAAGAAAAAAAAAAGAGCAAAACAACAAAAATATATGTTTTGTGTTAGAATAATAGTATTATTCCCAAAATACTATTTATGTAAAAATGTGCCAATATTAAAAACTTGTTCCCATAAAGGGTTTTGTTGATGATGGTGGTGTTGATGGTAGTGGTGTTTGGTTTTTGAGGCAGGGGTCTCATGTAACCCACTCTGGCCCCAAACTTGCTACATAGCCAAGGATGACCTTGAACTCCTGATTCTCCTATCTATCACCTCACAAGTGCTGGGACAGCAGGCATACACCACACCTGTTTTGTTCCCTCTGAGGATAAACCTAGGGCTTCAAGCGTGCTAGGCAAGCACTCGGCTAGCTGATCCCTGCCTCAGGCTTTAGCTTTTTGTTTTAATTCATACCTTTGTACTGCAATTGTGTACACAAGTGGACAGTGCCACACCATGGGCAGGAAGCCTCTCCAGCCCACAGCCCTCTCCAAACAGCAAGAGCTTCTGCCGGCACCACCAAATTCTGGGAATGGAACTCAGACCCTCCAAAGAGCAGCATGCTATGTGGTCTTAACCACTGGACCTTCTCTCCAGCCCCACTCTTTTTATTCATTTATTTTTGGTTACTTTAAACAGGGTCTCCTGTAATCCAGGTTGGACTAGAACTCTACTGATCATCCTGCCTCATCCTCAAGTGTGGGGATTTACAGGTCTGAACCACCATGTCAGAATCTGGTTCTGGAGATTTGGGAGGGTGGGGTTCCAGACAGGGTTTCTCTGTGTAGCCTTGGCTGTCCTGGAATTCACTCTGTAGACCAGGCTGGACTTGAATGCAGAGATCCTCCTACCCCTGCCTCCTTGCAACACCACTCTGTTAACTTCAGGTGTTTATTTTGTTGTGTGAAGGTATGTGCACATACATAGAGGAGGGTATCAGAGGTCCTGTTTGGTCACCTTATTCCCTTAGGACATCATCTTTCACTGAACGTAGAGCTAGGCTGGCAGCCAGTGAGACCCAGTGAACCTCTTACCTCTATCTATCCTCCCCAGATGGTGCTGGAGAAACGGGTTGCACGGACACTGGTACAACCATGTACAACTCCTTCATAGGTATTGGAGATTTGAACTCAGGTCCTCATGCTTGCACACTGAGCCCTCACCAGAGCTCTATTCATTTTTACACAGAGTTTCAGGTAGCTGGGGCTGGCCTCAAACTTTACCAAGTCATCCAGGATGACCTTGAACTGCCCCCCCCCCAGTGCTGGGACTACATGCCTGCACCATCACACCCTTTGTTCAGTCTTTTTTATATTTATTTTTTGTGTGAATGTTACCACATGTATGTATGCCTGGTGCCTGATGGAGGTCAGAAGAGGGCTTCAGGTCCCTGTGGAACTGGAGTTAACAGACACTTGTGAGCTGGGAATTGAACCTGGGTCCTCTTCCAGAGCAACCAGGGCTCTCAATCACTGAGCCATCTCTCCAGCTTCACCCACATCCAGTTTATATAGCACTGAGGATGGAACCCAGGGCTTCATGGGTGCTAGGCAAGCGCTCTACCAGCTGAGCCACACCCCAGCCGTACTATAACTACTTGTTTTTCGTTTGTTTTTCAAGACAGGGTTTCTCTGTGTAACAGCCCTGGCCATCCTAGAACTAGCTCTGTAGACCAGGTTGGCCTCAAACTCACAGAGATCCGCCTGCCTCTGCCTCCTGAGTGTTGGGATTAAAGGCGTGTGCCACCACCGCCTGGCTATATGTATGAATCCTTATGTGTGTCTGGCCACCTCAGGCATGCCTGGTGTTCTTGTAGGCCGGAAGAGAGTGTCAGATCCCCCAGAACAGGAATTACAAATGTGAAAATGGGAGATGTCAACTCTGATGAGTGCTCAGGCCTCTACAAGAACAGGTGCTCTTGGCCGGGTGGTGGTGGCTTATGCATTTAATCCCAGCACTCCGGAGGCAGAGGTAGGCGGATCTCTGTGAGTTCGAGACCAGCCTGGTCTACAAGAGCTAGTTCCAGGACAGCCTCCAAAGCCACAGAGAAACCCTGTCTTG